GCATTTATTGCATAAAATATTGTATTTTAATTAGTTCCTAAAAATTTCGTTTTTAAAAACCAATTTTTGTTGAAGTTGTTTAGGAAAAAGTAACAACATGCATTTTAGCGACAAGGTTTAAAGGGCCTGCCAGGACAGGGGTGGGATTTAAATACCCTTCGCGCCAGTCAAAGAGTTAAACAATATCTCAAGCTGACAATTCAATTACAAATAAATCTCTGAAAATCTCTGAAGCCCAAGGAAGAATTTTAGTCGAACATAGTTCTAACTAGTTCTGTTTTTTAAATTTAAAATTTCAATATCATAACAGGACAATATATGCCCACTTAGCTGATAAACCTTAAAGTTACTTCATTTCATGAAATGGATAGAATGATTTATGAAGGGCACTGGATTACTTACTTACTTACTTACTCATGGAGCTGAGCCCTTCTGGAGGAGCCGCCAATTCTGCAGCTACTCAAGAATTTCCCAGCATTTTATGGAACCCAAAGGTTCATTACCATGTTTACAAGAGCCCTCCACTGGTCCCTATCCTGAGCCAGATCAATCCAATCCATACCATCCCATCCTATCTCTCTGAGATCCATTTTAATATTGTCCACCCACCTACCCCTTCCTCTTCCCAGTGGTCTCTTTCCTTCTGGCTTTCCACCAATATCCTATATACATTCCTTTTCTCCCCCATTCGTGCTACATGCCCTGTCCAAATCATCCTCCTTGACTTGATGATTGTAATTATACTTGGAGAAGAGTAAAAGTTATGAAGCTCCTCATTATGCAGTTTTCTCCAACCTCCTGTCACTTCATCTCTCTTCAGTCCAAATATTCTCCTCAACACCCTAAGTCTATGTTCCTCCCTTAATGCCAGAGACCAAGTTTCACACCCTTACAGAAGAGGGGCAAAATTATAGTTTTGTATGTTCTTTCATGATTTTGGACAGAAGACAAGAAGACAAAAGGTTCTGGTCTTAATGGTAGCAAGCATTAACCGATTTCAATTTGCTCTTAATTTTCTCCTGAATGAGGTTTTGATTTGTTATCGTCGTTCCCAAATATCTAAACTGTTCCATATTTTCAAAACATCTGTTTCCTGTTTTTGTCATGACTTTGCCCTAAATTTTGGTAACGAGATAGCAACATTGGATTAATGTACATAATCTGTTGCAAAACAAATAAAAGTATGTAAAGCTATCCCTGTAACAGGCCATGAAGGGCCATAGGGGTGTGAGACGTTGAGGGTCCCACATTATCTAGACAATCGGCTCAAAGATACGTAGATAAAACAGAAGTTGAGGTGCAGAGAGCACAGTTACACTGTCTACTTGAAGAACATGAACCTTGTAATGTTTGCAACATAGATGAGTCAGCAAACCATTGTTAACTGTAACTAATTCTGTTATGCAGTTAACTGCTGTTAAATTTGTACTTTCTTTAATAAAATTTTGAATTATCTCAAAATGAATCATGCAGTATACTTATGCTGAGGTTTGATGATGAATGTCAGATATCTGTAAATTTTAAATTTGTCTTTTTTTTTTTTTTTCATTGACACTCTGGTGTATATAATTTTCTGTTCCACTATTACTTTATTCCAGTACAGTAATTTGGAACATACTGTCGGACTTATTAGAGCCATGCCATTTGAAATCACTAGGCTTGCTATATGTTAACACAGTATTTATATAAGAGATTTAAAATACGCATTGCTAGAGCTTCAGTTATGTACATCTGTACAAGAGCATCGTGAATAAAGTATTCAAACAATAATCAGGGAGATATCCAGACATAACTACAATGTAACGCGTTCGCTTTTCATTTTCAAGCGCACGATGTAGACAAACACTACATGTCTAGCTATTTCTATCACTGGTACTTACACACCTGCACCTGGGTTTGTACTCAGAAGTTTGACGATGGTTGCTCCTTGTGGTATCGTTTTGGTATTCGCACCCTGGATTGTGGTCAATTGCCCTCCTGGTCCGGCCTTACCCTGAATTAAACTAACTTTTGGAACCTAAAACACATACAAGGCATTACAAAATTAAACCTTGCAGGCGTTCTTGTATTTACAAAAACACAGATGTATATTTAAATTTCATTCATGTCTTGTTTATTCAGTTATGTTTCAGCATGAGCTCATGCAGTGACTAATGAGTAATGGAAGAGACATTTGAATTTTTTACGTTTACTATATACTGTGCTTTCTCACTACAGCTACTTTAAATCCTTATATTTTACTCTTGAATCATTCTTATCATTCACAATTACTGGAAAACAAAGAAGAAAATGTAACAATGCCTCCCATGACTGTTACAAAATCTCCTCTCCCCCACTCCTGTGGTTGCTAAATCAATTCAGAAAATATTTACCTGTAGCTGTCAACCAAACACCGATCCACCTCATGAATACATCTGTTAGCATGGATGCACTAAAAAAAATGTTGCATACCTCTGCATTTCATTGGTCTTACCTTCCTGTTTTCTTGACAACTCTTTATAACATGATTGCCTTCAACAATGATATAAACTTCTCTCTAGAGCCAGCATAGGTTTTTATATCCAGTATGACTTCACACGCTGCAACAGTGTGTCCGTAAAATATGTGTTTCCATGTGAAGTTACTAGTTGTTTTCTCCAGCAATAATCACTGTGTGTGTGTGTTCTTTGAAGTTGCCAGTGAACTTGTGCTTGCTTTATTCAAGGTGCCGCTAGTTATGCCAAAGTCAAAGAATTTTATGTAGCTAAATCAGAGAATCTGTTTGAAATGTGCTTCTCTTTAAGAAACAGAAGTAGCTGAAGGCTCCTTCATTATACCAATTACAAAAGCTCAGGAAGGGACAGAGGCTGTGACAGGTGTTGAAGGGAGCACCATGCAAAAATTTAATTCAGAAGGGAGAAGTGTTCATGCCACTGAACAAGGAAACTGGTAATTTTCAACTCCAAACAAAAAAGAAACCATAAGGAACTGGACTTAACAAGCTGGATTTATGCATAGTGCAGAGGACAATTTATAACTTTTACAGAATGGAAAAACAAGCACTTACAACTTCTGCTTTAAGGAAAAAGTTATATCAACTGAATGGCTTTAATGAAAGTTTCTCTATTCTTAGAAGTAGTCAGAGAAACGCTGGATTCAGATGAAGAACATCCAAACCAAACAGAAAGCTACTGAATAAGAACAATTATGTTCATGAGCACTGGATTTCATTCCTGACAGATATTTCTTGTTTCATGCAGGTGGGAAAATTCATTATTTACATGGCCAAATCTTACATTCCTCAATCCCATCCACCGAAAAACTCATGAAGTGATGACAATTCAGAAGAGCTACACTTCCCATTCTCAAAAGGAGGAAGGCTGATCATGATTCAAGCTGGGGGAGAAAATGGTTTCATAGAAAATACATTGTTAATGTGGAAACCTAGTATACATAGTAGCACCGAGGACTATCACAGCCAGGTGAATTTAGAAAATTATCAAAGACTGCAGAAAAAATTAATTCCCAACTCACTACTGAATTCTGTCATTGTTATTAACACTGTGCCATTCCGCAACGTTCCTTTGGAGAATACACCTAGGTCAAACCTCAGGAGGTTGGATATAATTAACTGGATTTCTTCCCCATGACGTACTGTATTCTGATGAAATGTTTAAATCACAGCTGCACAGATTAATTCAAATCAATAAGACCCATTCCTACAAGTACACTGTCACACACGCACGCACACACAGATCTTCGTCTTTCCTCCTACCATCTAGATATCAACCTGATCAAGATGACATGCTTCCAAATTAAGCAGTGGATTGCATGAAACAATGTTACCTTTAAAACTGAAGATGTAAAATTGTTATGTGACCAAAAATTTGATGAAAATGGGAGAAAGAGAATGACACCCAGTGTGCGATCATGTGAAAAAAAAAACGTGAAAAAAGAAGTTATCAATCAAGAAGTAGAGAGATTAATAATTAGTCTTGGGTGCAGTGCTGGCAATTCTTCCCATTCTTCTGTCACAGAAGTCAAGGAGCACATATAGTATGATGATCAATTAGCAGGAAGTGAAAATTTAGTGTGAAATTCAATTAACAGATAAATTTTAAATTTAATTTGTCTTAATTTTTAATGGAAATAATTAACATTTCTGTACTTTTAAGCTACGCTTTCTCTGTAACAGGATGTGGAGGCCCATGGGGTTGTCAAACGTCAAGGATCCCACATTTTCTAGACAGTGGGCTCACAGAAGGCGGTGAGGTTGTCAGCCTTAAGTCCTGGTTGCCCTTTACCCCAAGGAATATCCCTGGTACTCATTTCTGTTAGAGGCCGAGTTAAACCCAGGACCATAGTGTGGCTGGAAGGATTACGTCAACTGAAAAATCCAATCACCTCATTGGGAATCAAACCTGCGACCTTCCAGCTTGTAGCTTCTACCAACTATGCTACTGTGTGGCCCTTTTCTGTACTACTGTTAACTGTTATTTCTGCAAGTAATAACATAATTTTGTTTCTTGAATATATCTGTTTATGCAAAGAAGCTGCCCAGTGATGGGTAAATGTTTTTGGCTTATCATACACAGTAACTTGATGAATTAAAACCCTTCAAAAAGAGTACATTTAAATTTTGGGTGTGACATCTGTCAGAAGCAGTGCTACAGTTTCTTAGCTGTACCTCTGGTTAGACATGATATTCAACTTACCGTTGCTACTGTCATTCCTTGGCTGGTTTTCACTAGTGTGACAATCTGAGGTTGCCCTGTACCTCCTGGGCCAGTACCAGGTTTCTGAAGAATAATCTGTGGTTTGCCTCCTTGTTGAGGTGTGGCTGCCTTTAGTACTGTTGTTGTGGGAGCAGCCAATCGTACAGTCTGTCCACTACTCACTGCAAATATACACAATATATAATAAATTACACAGCGTCTAAAATAATGTTAATCTCATTGACATTCAGAACTCTTTCATTATAATTCATAAATCTCTGCTTATATAATGATATAAGTAAATGCTAACATTCTAACAGTGAATACAGATGCTCACTGTGTCCCACCTGCATTTACAAGTTCTGCAGATGAAATTGTGTCTTCCTGCTGTCAGTGTTCATTACACTTACCACATCTAGTGTAATGTGATTTCGTTGCATAAATACATGTTCATGTTCTGAAAGTCAATGCTTCCTTTGCATTTTCATCAAACTGAGCCTCAGAAAACCTAACAAATATCTGATCACGTACATGTAGGTAAAGGTAAAGCTATTCTTGTAACAGGTCGTGGAGGCCCACAGGGTTGAGACATTGCTGTTACCACAACTTCTAGACAACTGACTCACAGATGGCAGTGAGTACATCAGCCTTATGCGCTACCTGCCTTTTACCCCCAGAAGATTCCTAGTACTCAGTTCTGTTAGAGGCTGAGTCAACCCCAGGGCCACAGCGCAGCTGGAAGGATTAGGTCAACTGAAAAATCCAATGACCTCATCAGCAATCGAACTCACGACCTTCCAGCTTGTAGCATAGTGCCTCAACCAACTATGCTACCACGTGCCCCCTCTAAATACATAAACAAACAAACTCCGTGGTTTCAGTCCGCAAGCAAACTATACCGACCGAGCAACCACCACTTGTCGGCAAAGTTAGTGCCAACTTTAATGGAGAGGATGTCACATGCTCAGCACAACGAATCCCCATGGATGTTAATTTCAGTTTTCTAGAACAGAGCTGCTATTTCCTTGAAATAGCTCCTCAATTATTCTAACAAGGCTGAGTGCACCCCGTTCCAGACCCACTATTTCTCAGAAAATCTGGTAGTCCTGGAAGTAGAACCAGGGCCTCTGGATCTGTAGCCAGGAACTCTGACCACTACACCACAAAGGTGGTTTTATGTACATATATGATGGTGAAAATTGTTACCTATAGCAAAGAGTTGTGGAAAGAACTTCATACTGCTCACTTCTTTCTATATGCTTCCTAACAGTACAGAAAGGTTGGATGAAATATTTCTCATGTAATAAAGCAACATAATACAAATTTAAGCAAAGAAAATATTGCTGTTCTTTCCTCTGCTCCTCACACACATGCACCAGATGACTAAGAAATTCTTTAAAGAAGTTGGCTTCAAAATTACAGTGCTTCAGATAATATCCAAGTTCATGAAACTACCTAGCCAGCTCAATGAAGCAGAGACCTTCTTGAGAAGCTAATAATTACTTAGCTACTCCCAAAAATTCCCCGCCTTTTATGGAACCTAAAGAATGATTACCATGTTCTGAAAAATCTCTACTCAACTCTCTCCTGAGCTGAATGAATCTAGCTTGCACCCTTCAAACATATTTTTTCCAGATCTTTTTTAATATTATCCTCAGATCTCTTTCCAATCTATCCAATGTATGTTACAAGTCCTGCTCACCTCATTCTGTGTTGATCATTCCAATAATGTTTAGTGAAGAGTACAAATTATGAAACTCCTCACTACGCAGTTTTTGCCAGCCAACCTCTAGTCACTTCCTACCTGTTTGATTCAAATACTCTTCTAAATACTCTTTTCTGCTTTTAACTTCTTCATGGATACATATTTATTTGTTACCCTTGATCTGAAATATCAGAAATTTCCTGCTTTTTTATTTAGCATAAGTGTTTATATTACAATTTTGTACTATACTCTGAAGCAAGACATGAGCATATGTGTAGTTTCCTCTGCAGTTGCTTCTATACCAACTCTTGCTAGCAACTAGAGAGTTTCTTAACCTCAAGAGCATACACAAGATGCTAGCATGGCCCATTCAAGTTCAATCCCCGTCACTTCTTTCATTCCTTGAACATTCACAATTGCATATTCTAAAACGCAGCTGAAGAGCAATGGTGGTAAAGGTCTTGCTGTATAAGACCATTCTCAATAGAAAAATGCTGTTCATGAGCATGAATTTCACTACTTTCATTTTACACATTTTAATTAGTCTGCCTAGTTTCTTGGGTATACAAAATTAAATAAAAATGTTGTACATGGTGAAGGTACAGTCAACTCTCGATTATCCGGGGGCGGATTAACCGGTTTGCGGCTTAACCGGGGCTTTTTTTTTTAAGTTTATATGTTGTTTAATATTCATTCACTTTTGTTTCACATGGTGAGTTTAACACTATTTTCGCACTAGTGTGAACCGAGCTCTGCATTATTTCGTCCCGTTATGCGAACACAATGTTCTAGGGTGGGGGTGAAAGAATGCAAGAATTTTTGGAAAGTTTCAAGGACAAATACACCGCCCCAGGTTATTTAACGGTACCATCTCAGTGTGAGAGTGCATTGTGAAAGTAAGTATCAGTTTCTTAATATAGATCTTCAAGTGCGTTAGCAAAATGTCGGGGTTTAAAAGGAAGCGTGTTGTGTTAAGTATTCAACAGAAACTTGAAATTATCAATCAGCTGGAAAAAGGAGCTGTAGTTAAACAATTAGCAATGCAATACGGTATTGGAGAACAAACTGTTCGTGATTTGAAAAAACAAAAGAATGAGTTAATTTCCTTTGCTTCGTCTTCTAATTCAAGCGGAATGAAGAAGAGAAAAACCATGAAGAAATCAACATACGATGATCTCGACAAAGCGATGCTGACCTGGTTTAATCAACTAAGGGCACAGGGAACAACAATAACAGGACCAGTTTGTGCTAAACAAGCTAAATATTTTTTCGAAGCACTTGAACTAGAAGGGAGTTTTGACGCTTCTTCCGGTTGGCTAACACGTTTCAAGCAGCGTCATGGAATACGAGAAATCAGTATTCAAGGTGAGAAATTGTCAGGGGACTTGTCAGCATCAGATCAATTTTGCACCAATTTTGATAGTTTTGTGAAAAGTGAAAATCTGCTGCCAGAACAAATCTATAATGCCGATGAAACGGGTCTTTATTGGAAATGCTTGCCAACCAGAACATTGGCATTTCAAAATGAAAGACAGGCTCCAGGTCACAAATCCAGTAAGGAGAGATTGACAGTCTTGTGCTGTTCTAATGCATCAGGAACACACAAACTAATACCAGTAGTTATCGGCAAAGCGAAAAGACCACGCTCTTTTAAAGGAACAGTAGCTTCAAGTCTGCCTATCCATTATTTTAACCAGAAAGTAGCTTGGATGAATAGAGCGATATTTAAAGAATGGTTTGATTTTAAATTCGTGCCTCAAGTTCGTGACCATCTAAAATCCCAAGGCCTACCTGAGAAAGCTGTGCTCCTCATTGACAATGCGCCCTCACATCCTAACGAAAGTCTCCTGAGGTCAGATGATGGAAATATTTTTGTGAAATATTTTCCCGCTAATGTTACCGCACTTATCCAACCAATGGATCAAGGAGTTATCTCAAGTATGAAGAGAATCTACAGATCAAATTTGCTACAAAAGTACATCGATGAAGGCAATGATCTGACGTGTTTCTGGAAGTCCTTTTCAGTATTAGATGCCATATACGAGATTTCAACAGCGTGGGATACAGTAAAGCCATCTGTATTGAAAAATTCATGGAAGAAACTGATGCCTTTCATCACTAATGAAGATGACGAAATCCATGGATTCACTGGATTCAGTGAAAATGAGATAGCCATAAAATTGACAAAAGTGGCTAACCAAGTTCATGGTGGTGAAGAAGTCAACGAGGAAAATATAAGAGAGTGGTTTAACTGTGACTCGTGTGAACCGGGCTTCGAAATGTTAAGCAGTGACGAAATCGTAACTTCAATGGGGGTGCAGCCAGAAGAGCGGGAAGAAAGTGAGAATGAGGAAGAGGTGGACAGTGTTGCCAGTAAGAAAGTATCACATGGTGCTGCGCTTAATCATTTGGAATCCTTACTAGACTATCTTGAGAGTGAAGAGGACAGTTTATTAAGTGACAAGCTAATATTACGTAGGCTTCGTACGGATATCCGTAAAAAGGAAAATGCCGCGAAAAAGCAAAAGACAGTATTAAATTATTTTAAGTGTTAAGTGTGACCGTAAAAAGTGCTGGATGTTGTTGAACAGTGATTGAAATAACTAATTCATACTGAGTGTAATGTAAAGAAAGTATTAAATAGGCCATGAGATGACATAGAAATGAGGATGAATAAATTTAAATACAGGTAGGTCTATAGTATTATGAAGGTATTAAAAGGTAAAAGGTAAAGTTGTTCCTCTGCTCAACGAATTAAGCCCTACGCCATTAAGGCGTGTGGGGGAGTGGATGTATAGATCCAAATTTTCTTGACCTCGGCACTAGTTGGAGGTGAGTGGTCAGCTTCACGCCCCGGCCGCTTTACCCCCGGGGAAAGAGCCCCCGGTACCCATTGGATAGGAGGTTGGATGGACCCCAGAGCCGGTCTGGACGATTTGGAGAAGTTAAAATTCTTGACCCTACCGGGACTCGAACTCCGACCCTTCACAGTCGTCCAGCCCGTATAATAAAATTTGGCTTAACCGGGTTTTCGATTAACCGTGACTTCCATCCCCACCATTAGCCCGGATAATCGAGAGTTGACTGTATCTGGAAAGTTACTTGCGAGTTTTAGGAAATTACATTTTCTTAACCATAACACACATTAACAAACAATTGACTAAAATCAAGTTTAACTTGATTGGCACGTTTCTGTAGATAAAACAGGAAATAGAACAGTTACATTTTTACATATAATGGTAAAAAAAGTAAAAGGTAAAGCTATCCCTGTAACAGGCCATGGAGGCCCATAGGGTTCTGAGACACTGAAGCTCCCACATTTTCTAGACAATTGGTTCACAAATGAAAGTAAGTGAATTCCCACTTCTGATGTAAATCATGGATATCATTTGGGAAAGATATAACTGTGGCAAGTTCTACAGGACTTGACATGAGAACATGCCACAAATGTTACAAATTCTCATATCTGAAAAGACAACTAAGTGAAAAATTTGACTCAAAATTAGTATGTTATAAAGCAGTTCTGTGCTACAACAGGGTCACAATATACATGCACTGGAGTGAAAATTCTATGTATTTATGAGTAAAAAGAACAGTTACTATTACAGAGTGTGCCATACCAGTACTCATCTTCTGGGTAGCTGCCGCCGCTGCAGCCAGGGCTTGGATTCCAGACATCTGTCCAGGAGCTTGAGTTTGGGCCTGTGACTGTGCTTGTGTTTGCAGCTGCACCTGCCCTTGATTTGCTGTCTGAGGTGACACCCCACGGACAGGTGAAGCTACTGATGTCTGTAACTGTGATAGGGTGGTTGGAGTAAGTGTTGGAGAAAGTATAGTGGGTGTTAATGTTGGAGTCACCAATGTACTTGTAACAGTGCCCCCTATAGTATTGGTCACAGTGCCTGGAGCCAGGATACGCAACCCAGAAGGAGTAGATAATGGTGCTCTGACCCGAACCAAATTGCTTGCACCTGAAATGAAATGAATGTTTAACAGCAATTATAAAATATTCATAAAATTCCCTACAGATGAATAAACAAGAATAATCAGGAAAAAAAGTAAGAATTTACAATGACGTAATGAAAACATAATACAAAATTTGATAGTTTAGAAAGTTAAAGATCACACTACAGCAAGCCTATGTGGGGGGGGGGCATCAAAGTCCTCATAAAGACAGTTCAGTAAATAATTTCTCCATGAAGACCAAAACATTTCTTACATTTCAAGTTTGTTCTCCAATTCTTAGTTGCATCTAACAAAATATCACTCCCATCCTGCCACTCCCTTACTACAACACCTAATTAACACATTTGTCTTTCCTACATATTTTTTTGTAAATCAGTATACTCAGTTCAGTGTTCCCCGAAATCCTTGTAACCATATTGTCTCTGAATATCATTAAATCTTACTTTCAATTCCACTGTATACTCTACTCCTTCAGTTTCCCGTTCCTCCCAGTTATATGTACACTCCGACCCAATTCATCTTTAATCCTGTTTATCCAGTCATCCTTTTCCACTTTATTAGTATGGGATTGTGAATGTTTATTAACTATTCTTCATCTTCATCTTCGTGAGTTTCCAGTACTTAGTAACTCTTTATTATTACTCCTCCCCTACTGCTGTGTCCACAAAGTTCTAAATCTGCAGATCCATTTGTTGTGCAGCTAGTTAAGACCTAATAGCATCTTGCAAACTGTAGCCTGAATCACACAAATTCTTTCAAAACATCCACTAAACCACCGATCCATACAGAATTCTAGTCTCCATTTTCATCTCACAAACCTTTCCTGCAATTCTCAACAAAGACTGTCTTTGTGGAACATCAGTCACTCTCAGATTGTACATTACTCAAATTCATGCTAAATATCTATTAGAAGCTGAAGAGAAACAACAAAGAATTGAAAGTCTCCTGTATAAAGTTCAAGAATGGCATGTGCACAAATGCATGTTTACATACAAACTGTTTCAATGAATACAAGCACGATGAGAAAGGAAAGTTATTCACGTGACCACTGCATAACTCACCTCTATAAGGAGAAGCTACAGGTGCAATGACAGGCACGTTCGAAGTAGCTGAAGTTACTGCACGTGCAGGAGTTGATATCACTGTTGTCAATGTTCTTGGCAAGCTGGTGGATGACAGAGTTGTTAGTGATGAAATGGGGGCACTACTAGCACCCAGAGACGTAGATGTTGTTTGTGGTGAACTTAATGTGAGAACTGGTGCCAGTACTGTTGTGGGGGCCCCAGATGAGCTAGAACTTGTTAAGGGCTGCTGACTGCTGGTTGAATTTAAATTTGCAGCAGTGCTGGTGGTGGTTGTAGGTAAACTTGAAGATAAGGAATAAGGAGTAGATGAACTAGTTTTGGTGGGAGAAGTTGATGAAGGGGTGACTGTTCCTGGGGATCCTGCAGGCGCAGGTAATGAAACTCCTGGCAAGGTGGTCATGGCTGTACTCGGAGGCATGTCATATTTTTGAACTTGAAGCAGGTAAGATTCGGCAGTTGGTGAGCCACCCCAGCATACCTCCAGGGAGTGTGTTGAAGCTCGTACCAGCTGGACACGTCCAGGTGTTGGTGGCCTTTCAACTTCCAAGAACCACAAGTCCTTGCAGCATACCTATAACGTAATGTTTTATGTACCACACAATGAGAATTACCAAAAAGATGAAGTGATAGCATACAGCAACTACAAGAAAAGAGTCCAATTTAGTTCTGTAAAGAAACATGTCTATTACACAATTAGAGTGAAAAGGATCTTACATATTTTACACCTTATATTGAAACAACTTACTAAAGATGAACAATTAATATATTAATAAACTATGTATATAAACAAAACTACATACAAGGTTTATCCGGTAAATTCCCAAACTTTTAAAATATAAAATGTTCCACCTGCCTCAGGAGCTATTCAGCCTTGTCACCTTCAAAGTAGTTCCCTCCACTTTGAAAACATTGCTCCCTACATTTCTTCCATCCTTCGAAGCATTTCTGGAATGCTTCGTTCAGGATACTGTGCAGGTCCACTAGCTTTTCCTTTATCAAGTCAATCAACTCAAAACATTGGCCTTCCAACAACATTTTTAATTTGTTGAATTAAAAAAGATCCGTTGGTGTTCGATCAAGCAGGTAAGGAGGTTCTGGAAAGACTTTTGGTTCATGTTTTGCCAAAAACTGATGGATTAATAGTGATGTGTGCATGGGCACATTGTCAGCATGGAGCATCCATCGGTTTGACCTCCAAGCATCGGACCTTTTTTTTTGACAGCCTCATGGAGACGTTTCATTACTTCAAGACAATATTCCTTGGTCACTGTCTTACCTTGTGGAGGAGATTCATGGTGTACAACGCCCTCAGAATAAAAAAAACTGTCAGCACAACTTTAACCCGTTGCCGTGGTTTGACGTGTATGTTTCGTCAGGTATTTAAATCGTCTGGGGGGGTTCGACGTGTATGTTTCGTCCAGCTGCACACGTATGTTATAACGCCCATAATAATTGATGGTTTTGCTGTAGATTGTTAGATTTTTCACTGGCCTGTTGTCAGGAGGACTGTATTTAATGACACACGCGTTTAAGAGCGCTAAGTCGTCGTTACATATGCCTGTCTTGCAGCAACTTTCCTGTGGCTATTGCGAGCTGTTTCTGTTATGAATGATGTGTTTTCTTTGCACTGAAGCTATAAACAGCAGAGACTGATATGGCCTGGTGTTTATGATATCATATTGCCCTGAGCTGGCCACATTAACACACTCAATTGGAATTCTTAGAAGAAGGATGTACAAAAATTTATGCTTGCAAAATCGATTGCTTTCGCACAGTACATAGCACCCATTTCTTAGAAAAACGCCACAATTTAAGGCAGAACACTGTGGTCACCCCCTGAGACGATACGGATGTGTGTGGGGGAGGGAAAAGAACTCATTCCTTCGCTCATTATCGCTCCAGTTGACTCCATTTTATCGTACTGACCTTGGTGGTCGTTTCGAGGGATGACCATAAATATTTTTTTGAGCCAGCTAAGCTCTACTTTCGTTCACTACATACCAGACAGTTCTTAGAATAACTTCATGAATTCTGTGGTCACCCCTACGACATCTCCTGCCGCCAAAATGGATGGAATATCAAAGGCATAGCAACAACCCCTTGTTATGATAACTCGTAACGTTGAATTTACTACAGCTGACCTGGCAACTAAACGGGTCACGGAAAGACATTTCCTTGAAGTATACCCCTCACGGGTAAGAAGGCAAGGCCGCACATATGTGTGGTTAAAAAAAAGGGCCAAAAAAAATACACAATATTGGAGCGGAGAATGGTGAACGTGGGGCACCGTTGGCTTAGAAGAATGCTTCAAGGCCTTCCTTCTACTAAACCAACTGCCTCCATTACCGAGATACAGGGCGCTCATATTATAAGGTAAGGTTATAAAACCACCATTTAAGATCATTTTAGTGAAAGTTTCATCCTTCAAGGCGTACCATTCACTGCTGAAATACTAAACAACCTGCTTCCATGGCCGAGATACAGGGCGCCCATATTATAAGGTAAGGTTATAAAACCACCATTTAAGATCATTTTAGTGAAAGTTTCATGTTCCTATCTCATAGAATTTAAGAACAATGATGAATAAATCATTTTCGAGCAAAATTTAAATGGCCGGCTGAATATATTACCGCAGGAGCCGCGGCCGCGGAATTTAAATGACAACGTCAAAGGGTTAATGTTTTTCGTATTTTTCAGTCATGGTGGGCCTTTTAACACCCACTGTGATGACTGAGCTTTTGTTTCAACATCATATCCATAAACCCATGCCTCATCTCCAGTAATAATGTTTTTTAAGATGTTTTCATCCTCCTAATTCCATTCAAAAGCTCTTGACTCACATTAATTTGAATTTGTCTTTGCTCGTCAATCAAAAGGCGAGGCACAAATTTGGCTGCAATGTTACTCACGCCTAAATTTTGCGTAAGAATTTCATGACAGACAGTTTTCGAAATGCTTACTTCTTCAGCTACCTCGTGAACAGTTAAATGACTGTTAGAATGAATGACTTCCCTAACTTTTGCAACAATTTCATAAGTTTTGAATACTGACGGTCAGCTTGAATGAGGATCATAATCAATTGAAGTTCAGCGATCTTTGAAACGTTTCCACCATGTGTACGTTTGAGTCTGGCCTAAGGCCTCATTCCTAAATGTTGTTTTCAACATTTCTAATGTCTCCATAAAGGATTTTCCTAATTTAACATAAAATTTCCTACAAATTCGTTGCTCGTGAAAATAGCTTATTTTAAACACAATAAAAATCGCCAGACACACGTAACATTTGTTTACACAAACAGGCATAGCACGACGACTAAGCAAAATATTGTGTTGCAGTTTTCACTAAGCTATTTCCAAATTTTGTCACTATGTTGCAGCGTGATATGCATTTTGTTAGTAGTGCTTGCTGGCACTAACTAAGAAGTTCAGGAAGTTACCAGACAAACTTGTATACCATAAAAGTAAAAAAAAGTAAAGTAAAGCTATCCCTGTAACAGGCCGTGAAGGCCCATAGGGTTGTGAGACGTTGATGGTCCCACATTATCTAGACAACCGGCTCAAAGATGGCGGTAAGGCTGTCACCCTTATGCGCTGGCCGTGCTTTACTCCCCAAGAAAATTATTTAATTCCTGGTACTCATTTCTGTTAGAGGCTGAGTCGACCCCAGGACCATAGTGCGGCCGGAAGGATTAGGTCAATTGAAAAAAATCCAATGACCTCATCGAGACTTGGACCCGAGACCTTCTGGTTTGTAGCATAGCCCCTCTACCAACTACACTAACTCGTATACCATAATTATTTTTTATATTATCATACATTTTCTAATGTTAACTCTGTGAAGAACATGGCATTTAGCATACTGCTCATTCATCATTTATCGATTTTATCAAGAAATAAAAAAATCAGATTTAAAGAAATGGTTCTAATTTTCAACAGAATTACTCGACCACATGTGAAGTCAAAGTCTTCTTAACAGTGAGCAAAAATTATTTTTTCTGAAGTGACTACAGAAAAAAAAAAAGAGTTACACAATGAGGAACTTCTCAGTATTATTAGAACAAAGAAGTTATCTAACAAGTAAACAAACATAATACCAATGGTGGCAAGAGTCATATAAAATGACTTCTATTTCATTTCTGGTGCTCATTATGAGCACACATTATTGTCACAGCATGACTATACTTGGATGAACAAACATTACATTCAAATGCACTGACGTTGGTTCACACCTATAATCACGAAATGAAGTACCAGTAAAATAAAATTCATATCTGTAGTACCAATGACATAAAATTCCTATTTCATTACAACAAAACATGTGAAGTCATGCGGGATTTATTTGTGAGGTCAGATAAAATGCTACATTCACATGTTATTCCGTACATTCTGCATTAAAAAGGGCACAGTGCTCACTGCTTCCACAGAAAGGTAACAAAAACAAAACCATTTCTATACAAATATTTTATCAACCTATAATAAAGCCATACTTGATTGTTCCATGCTTTGCGATATCCATCTCGACCAGACCACACGTACAGCCTGGTATGTATTCCAACAGAGCAATGTCCAGCACGAGCTCTAGGAGTATTTTCTTCAAATGTGTCTATACTTAATTGTTCCCATGTTAATGTTTCTGTAATAAATATTACATAAGAATACATGTAAAACAAAGTGCAATAGAAAAAAGCTGCACCTAAAAAAATAAAAAGTAAAGACCAATAAAACCAAAACAATTATTTTCTAAAAAACATAACTGAACACAACATTTTAGAAGTTATATACCATATCTGCCACAACAGTAAAACACACTTATTTTCCGGAATATGTGTTCTGAATATCAGACTGAAAGTTGCACCCAACAATTATGTTTCTGAAACATTCAACCATCCACTGTACGAATTACGAGTATTTAACAATTGCGCCTTCTGTAATCTAAACCAAGAAAGCAACTGAAGCCATGCCAATATATTTGTAAGTTCTGCTTCAGAGGAGGTTCCAAGCAAGCAGCATTCCACACACTGATAAGGAATCTCTCTTTCTTTCCAAAAAGGCTCATTTAAAGGCCTTTAAAACCCTACATATGCTGTTAAGCCAATTTAGAACAATGAAAGTTAAACTTTTCAACATAATATCAAATTAAGCTCTTAAGAAACAAAAATTATTAGTATTAATAAAATATTACAGTGAAACCTCAACTTTACCTTCTGGAGGGACTACGTAAAATAAATTTAAGCCTGAGACATGTGCAAAGCAAGGGAAATGAAAATGATGTAACAGCCTCTTCTTCAACTGGTGCCATCTACAGAAGCATTACTGGCACAACTGCTTGAACAATGCAACAAGATCTGATTCCAGTTCCTCTAGCAGTGAACATTTCAAAAATTTCCACTGCTTGAAGAAAGGCCACCATTGGGAAAAACACCTTTAAATTTCTTCAGTTTCTCACAATTGTGTTTATTGTGGACAGTAGTGACACCAGTTACATTTGTGCTCTGATACACATGAACTTGCACTGTAACATTAATTTTATGTTTTAACATGGACATGCCAAGTTTACTAAGGCAAAGCTTTAACATGAACAGAACAGCACCAGTCTTTCTCTAATTTTCAGATATAAAATGCTGTATACATAAATCCTGGTAAATTTTCATTGTCAGGACTTCAAAAATAAGGGCATAAAATTGGGGAAAATGCAAATTAAGAAACATAAAATAGGTTCAAATTTAACATTTCCGTTAGAGGCTTTTGGCTGGGACCAACAAAAAGTGTGTAAAATCAAGAAAATCACAAATTCTGAGAGTACAAAAATCGAAGTTTCACTGTTATGTAATTTTTTAGGACTACAAATTTTTATTATGAAGGATAAAAGATCAGTGAGTACAATTCCACTATTTCTCTGCCACCAAGTTCTAAATATCTAGGCATATGTATATATACATATATATGTATGTGACAGGCAGTGACAAGGAACATCTTTCTAATCTCTGATTGCAAAGTCAATTTTTAGATTCACTTGTGACCCACTTTTTAGGGGGGAGAGGAGGGGGGGAAGAAACCCTGTTCACAAATATGCAACCAGTACTCAACAATGTAACTTGACACCACAGCATTAGTGATGTGACTGATGCTCTTAAAAATTAACATGGAGCTTTGCAAAGTAGAAATACTATTTTCAATATACAGAATGGGCCAGACTCAATTAGGCAGTTTTTGATCATTAATAAGTAACCAATCCAACAACACACGGGATAATGGGAAAGTACCTTCTGTTGTCGACAGATGGCAGCATCATACGGTATGCTCTGAACGAGGTCAATACTCTGCCTACTTAGTGCGCATCGAGGAAACGTCATGGCCGGTAGACGGTTGTCTATCGAGCAGCGTGTAAAATGTGTGCGCCTTTTCTCAGTTACTAACAATGTATCAGAAGTCCAGCGCAGGATGTTGGAAGAGTTTGGACCGCCAGCAGTCCATAGGGACACAATCGTCCAAATAAACAAGCAGTTTGATTAAACTGCCAGTGCTTTGAATCCCAAGCATCCTGGTCAGCCGAGAACTGTCTGAACTGCTGACACACAAGCGCGTGTTGCTGCAGTACTGGCATCATCTACTCAGAAATCGAAGTCTACCCGTCGTTTGTCGGCCTACTGGACATTTTGAGGACAAGTTTGCGGAGAGTTTTGAGTGACATGAAGCTGACGCCATACCATCCACGGCTTATTCATGTTCTTAACGAGGACGACTTCGACAGGTGACTTGAGTTCGCCGGGTTGATGCTGACCAAGTTTCAGGAGAACCTTGACCTTATCTGGATTATTGTCTGGACTGATGAGACCAAGTTTCAGGAGAACCTTGACCTTATCTGGATTATTGTCTGGACTGATGAGGCCAAATTTCACACATCAGGATCGGTCAACAGACACAACGGCGTGTTTTGGCGGGCAGAGAACCCCAGTGCCACCATTGAATACGATTTCCAGTCCCCGGGAGTGATGGTGTGGGGCGGCGTGATGTACGAAGGACTGGCTGGCCCGTTCTTCCTTGAAGGTTGCATCACGGGGGAACCTACCTAAAGTTGCTGAGGGAAAGTGTCATCCCAGAACTTCAGAGAAGAGAGAACTTTGATAAACTGTGGTGGCAGCAAGATGGGGCCCCACCACACTTCGCCAATATTGTTCGGGCGTTCTTGCATCAAGTTTTTCTTCAACGCTGGATTGGCCGTCGAGGGCCTGTGGTGTGGCCAGCCCGATCACCCGACATCACCCCACCAGACTTTTCCTTTGGGGTTACCTCAAAGACAAGGTGTACATTAATCCCATTGACAGTGTGGAACATCTGCGTGAGGTGATTGTTCAGGAGTTCAATAAAGTTCCAGTGAATATGTGTAGAAGGGCGTGTGAAAATGTTGCTTTGCGTCTGCAAGCCTGTGTTGACTTAGGTGGTGCCCAGGTTGACCAGCATCTTGAAAATCGATGACTTATGTGTGTGCGACTCCATTTTTGTAACCATGGCAATTGTTAACATTTATCAATAAAAATAACATCTAATCAAAAACTGCCCAATTGAGTCTGGCCCACCCTGTATATGTATTTTTACAGAAACTATCACAAGATTAGCATGCAAAATGGATTTCCAGATGACAGGCTGTTCAGGCTTGTGGCAATGCAAATATGTACAGAAAGATTTTCAATATTCAGGTCTCCTGAAAATAAGTGGGTTACAAAATTGAATGCCTTCAAGGACGATGTTCCACACAGAACTATTTTCAGATTTCACGATGAAAAATTTTCCACTGCAAAAAATCACTCTTGAATTAAGAGACAACATTGGGTTCAAATACAGGACAACCAACAATTTGCACAAACTCCTCATGGAAAGAGACACGTGCCTGCTCAAATGAAGTTCCTTAGGACAATTCACAACCTTACAATTTCACGGGTTAAAAAAAACCACTGAAAAAAATACACTTATGGAAGTCTTAATATAAAGGGGTTTGAAATTTCCTCCAAGAAAACGGAGCAGGCTTACTGTGCACCACATAGAATCAGAAACAACGGGCTCTATTTCTCACAGCAGCGAACCTTTCATTCACGCCCAAAAATGCAAGACTCAGACTCATCTAGAGATGGAAGCCAATAGTTTTGGAGACTGCTCTGTATATAGATTTCTAAATTAGTCAGAAAAGTAATCCATCAATACCCCCTTTAACATATATGAAGTTCCTAACTTGGTTTCATAGAAAGAACAGCTACAAAAGAACTGTACTGAATATGACTCCACAGAAACCATAGTCAACTTACTCCTTCGCAACTACATCACATAAAAGTTGAGAAAATGTGTATAAACTAGAAGACATAGCAAATGAAATGGGTCACCTTGTATTAAGATTACATCCTTACAATAGTTGATATAATCCAAATGAACTGATAAACTCAATAACACTTACTGACTGGCCAATACTGAGAGGCTAATAAACAAAGCAACTGACAGAATCACTAAAATGGACTGGATTTCATGTGTCTGACATACTGAAAAATTGAAGGACAAGGACTTATACAGGGAAACAGCTTAGGGTGAAGTCATGCATTGTATCACCATAAATTTAGGAGGCAAAGGTGATAACTCAAAAGAGACATGAAGGTTGAGAGGATGATACAATCCACTGGCTGTCTCATTGCTATAACTGTCGTTTATATTCATCTATCACCACAGTCTCACAAAAATTATCACAGCTTTGGTGACAATAATAAATGCTTTAATTAAATTGCTTGCTTCCTGCCACATGTTGTCAGAGACAGAACTCTGCATGAACAAGCATGATTCACTTCTCTTATGACCCCATCAAGAAAGAAAGCATCTGGCAACACCGACATTCAAAGTGATTGGTTTATTTCCATAAGCAAATAAGATCTAAAAGTTTGTGATGATGGTACACTGGTACAAATATTATGTTTTTGGACATTATCCATCCTCTTGTCTGTTCTAAAAACCTTCCTGTTTATTTTTCAAAACACATTTTGGAAACTGGATTCTGTCTCTATCTTCAGGAAAAACCTACTCACTTAGGCCCAACCGATAGAGCCAGTCCCTATCTCCAGACACCTATGCCAGTTTCAAGAAGGGGTACATAGATCAAACAAAGCACAAAGCATCTGCGAGAGCTAAGAAAATATTCAATACTTCTCTGGTGCAAGGCCTCATACTTGTGGAGTTTCAATAATTGATTATTTTCTTAGCTCTCACAGATGCTTTGTGCTGTGTTTGATCTATGTACACCTTCTTGAAACTGGCATAGGTGTCCGGATAGGGACTAGCTCTATCGAGTGTGCCCAACTGAGTAGATTTTACCTGAAGACAAAGACAGAATCCAGTCTCCAAAAGGTGTGTTTTGAAAAATAAACAGGAAGGTTTTTAGATAGAGACAAGATGATGGATAATGTCCAAAAAACATAATATTTGTCTCTACATAAGCCTTTAAATTCTGCATCTCGTATAAATTAAGATAAATGTAGAAGTTTAAATAGTCATTTCCATTTCCAGGTAAGTTTCTCAATCTCTGAAGCAGTTCATTCAAAAGTTAACACATTTCCAGAGAAGCCACTATAATTTACATCTTACCAATGATCAAGGAAGAAAATACTTACCAAGATTGAGACATGCAAGTGTGTTGGTACATTTCCATTCCTTTTCATGTGTAGCCACTTTAACATCATCCATAAAAAGAGGCACCCAGCCACCAAACACAAACATTCGAGAGCCAATCAATGTGGCACTATGTAGAGACCTAGGTAACGGAGGGGAACCATTCACAGTAGGCTTGTTCCAAGACATTGTATCTGGAAAGAAACACAGTTTTGATTCTTCAGAATTCAAATTTGGATAATAAATATGACGCTAATTATAGTATTTCTGAAATTAGTATGAAGACATGTTTAAAAATTGTTTTCATGATAAACGAAGTACGTGGGGCAATCCAAAAGTTTCCAAAATTTGAATTTTGCGCGCGAATGGTTATGAGTACATCGAAATACCGCTAGGTGTCTCCTCACACATCCTTCTTGAATCAGTGTGGCAAGCGGCGTCAAGTTGAATGGTTGGGTTTATTGTTGGTGAACGTATTTCCATTGCTGTGTTTCCTTGAGTTTGCGGTTTTGCGATGGCTGACCTGAGAGAGCAGCGTGTCTGTGTAAAGTTTTGTTTCAAATTTGGGAAAACCGCTGCAGAAACACACCAAATGTTGAAGCAAGCTTTTGGTGAAAACAGTTTAGGCCAGACACAAACTTACGACTGGTATAAGCATTTCAAAAATGGCTAAACATCGACTGAAGATGACAATTGTTCGGAACAGCTGTCAACTGGCACCACACCAGAAAATGTCACAAAAGTTAGGGATCTGATTCTGTAAGATCATAGACTGACCATCCAAGACCTCTGTAACACCCTGGGACTAAGTCAACGAATTTTGTCAGACGAACTGAACATGAGGAGGATTGCGGAAAAGTTTGTGCCACGACTGCTGCAAAATGAACAGAAGCAGCATCGCTTGGAAGTCTGCAGGGAATGTCAGCAACAGTTTCAAGAGGATCCAAACTTTTTTCGAAGGTTGTCACTGGTGACGAAAATTGGGTTTATGGCTACGACCCTGAAAGCAAGCAGCAATTGTCGCAATGGAAGAGCCCTTCTTCACGTCGGCCAAAAAAAAGCTTGACAAGTCAAGAGCAACATTAAGTCCATGTTGATCTGTTTTTTTGATACTGACAGGATTGTTCATAAGGAGTTCATCCCTCCTGGTCAGAGAGTCAATAAAGAGTTCTATCGCGATGTTCTAAGGCGTTTGAGGGAGAACATGAGGAGAAAACGTCCAGGGAAGTGGCGCACGAAAGGCTGGGTACTCCACCATGACAATGCATGACTGCATACGGCTTACATTGTGCAGGAATTTTTGGCTAAAAACAAGATGACAGTTGTTGCCCACCCACTGCACTCGCCAGACTTAGCTCCATGCGACTTGTTTCTCTTCCCCAAGATGAAAATCAAGTTGAAGGGGCGAAGATGTGATACAGTTGAGAAAATTCAAGTGGAAACGCAGATGGTACTAAACACCCTAACAAAGAAAGACTTCCAGGATGCATTTGAAAAGTGGCAGAAACACTGGGATCGGTGTATGCGCTCCCAAGGGGAATATTTTGAAGGTGATGGTGCAGAATAAGATCTAGGTAAGATGTAATAGTTTTTATTAACATATTTCAGGAACTTTTGGTTTGCACCACGTACTTTTGAAATTTTAAAAAAGTAGAACCGGTCTAGAACAGAACCTAAAGGGATCAGAATTTGTTCCCATTATAGTAGACAGATTCCTGTTGAAGAAACATGGAACTAAATTAAAGGTCTTTTTTAGATACATACCTCATACATTTATGGGATACATAAATGAATAATGCAATTTTAACTAATTAGACATTAATGTTTTCAGAAGTGCAATGAAGTGTTCTGCAAGTAATTTGTTCACATTGAGGCATGACTCCATCAATGATCCTGCTCTGAAAAGTATATCACATAGTTCAAAATTATTTTGATTTAGTGAAAATGCCTGGATATTCATAATCGTTTTTAGAGAATTGCACTGAGGTTGTATTCCATCTGTGGCTCTTGGGAAGTTCCTCCCCTTGCTCTTCCTTCTTTCTCTTTCTTGCAAGTCTCCTGATGGTATTCATTGAACTCATGAATTTCCTTAGTAGCAGTTTCATTTTAAGCACCCATGGTAAGGTGAACTTCTGCCATAACATTTTCAAACAAAACCTGACTAAATGATACTTGCATATCCTAGACATTGTTTTGTTTGCTTTCCTTTATTAAAATCACTTGTAGAAAATTTGGCTTTATAAAAACAATGCTGAACTGTTTCTGGCTACAACTGATTAATCACTTTTCCTAGCCAATTTAGTGAATTAAGCACAAAATTAGAGGTATCAAGTTTGATGGCAGATGTGGCTTCCATATTTGCTAGAAGTGATCGCATGAGGAGTCTACAAAAGTTCAGCTTCAACCATTTCATAACACCTTGGTCCATCAGTTACGTTATACTTGTTTTGTTGGGTGGGAACATCGCAAGGCACACATAGGACAGCTAAATATTAGGATGACATGTTGCATTGTCCAAGAGCAGAACAATGAGGTTGTCATTTTGCCATGATAGGAGATATCATCCACACTTTTTGTTAGAATTACAAAGTTCAGGAAGTTTCTTTGTCATTGCTCTTGAAACATGGTGGTTTAGCAGCCTTCTCTACAACCACAGGTTTTCCAATCTCTCCACTCATAAAACTAAAAAAGAAAACTGTTGATCTTTCTTTCAAAGATTTGTTTTTGACAGAATATCTTTCACCTTTTAAAGAGAGCTTTGTTTAACAATGCATGAAAGAAACAATGCAATTTAATCATCATTTCTAATTTCCTTCGGGTCTTATCAATACATAACTGAAAACAATTTGGCAGGCCAGTACGCTAGTTTCTCCACAAAGTCCTCCAGCTTCACTAGACTATGAAAAACAATTTGTTGTCTCCTTAAGCTTTCAAACCATTCATTTTCTATGTGTGTGTGGTGCAGTACTAAAAGGTACAAAAATAAACAAATGTATCTAAAAATCAACTGAATGAGTATAAATAAGGTGAGTATTTAGTGATTTGCATAGAGGTGACTCACAATTAGACTGATATATGAACAGCTGGACACTTACAGAGATGTTAATGAAGTAACAGGAGAGTTAACTGTGAGCCAGCGCTGTGCTGTTCCATTAGGCTGTCTTGTATTGGTGATACTGTTATGGCTCAAGAGGGTTGACTGCCTGCTAGCTGAGGCTTGAAGTAGAATTGAGGAGTTATATCCCAGAAGACAGACCTCTTCGTAACCACTGCTGTGAGAACCTTAAATCCTGCTTAAAGTAATGCTGTTTTGCTCTGCTGTCTTGTATTTTAAAGTGACATCAGAGATGGGGATGTAGCCATCTCTGTGTCTTTTAAATGTAATCTACATTTTACATTACTAAAATGTGGAACTGTCCCAAAATATTGAGGAATTTCAATTTTTTGTTGGAGTATCCTACCATTCATACTATCTTCCATTTTTGCATGTGTGTAAGAGAGAGAACAAATCTAAATGACACGGAGATGCCTACAACTCCATCTTTAAAGTCATTTTAAATTACAAGACAATACAGCAAAACAATGCAGTATTTTAACCCACAGCCAGCTTGCTGTCAACCCTCAAACAGCGTACTATCAACATCGCCAAGACAGCCAAACAGAACAACACAGCACTTCAGACTGTAATTAGCTTAGTCAACTCCGAAGCACCACATCATTAACATCTCCATGTGTCCTACAACCGCCTCTGTGATCTAGTGGTCAGGGTTCTAGGCTACAGATCTAGAGGTTCTGGTTCGATTTGCAGTGCTACCAGATTTTCTGACAGGTAGTGAGTCTGGAATTGGGTCCACTCAGCCTCATGAAGATAACTGAGGAGCTATTTGAAGGCTCCGGTCTAGAAAACCGAGATTAACGGCCATGGGGATCCATTGTGACAACCTCTATCTACAATAGTTGGCACTAACTTCGCCGACAAGCAGCAGTCATTCAGTCGGTATAGTTTGCTTGTGGATTACAGGCCACGGAGTCTTTTCAGTTTCTTTTTAAGTGTTCTACTCTTCTATATCATTCTAATTAAAAAAAACTCTACACAAATCACTACATACCCACAACATTTATAGACATCTGGCCTATTTTATTACAGAAAACCAATCATCTAGAGACCTCCCAATGTCGCATAACTTCAACTTTACATTTATATTTTATTCAATCAATCAAAACAGACATTTTGTATGAATTTATTGCCATTTTAGCATTAGACCAAACAGATAACTGACTACCTTAGCCCATAAACAATACTGCTCAAAAACACGTAGAACTTCTTTACACACTCTACTGAAAGGGTCTGCTGATGTTGCAAGATTTACACTAATATATGTAACCTTTCATATAATTACAAATTAAGTTGTCTGAATGAGCTTTTAACATATATTTATACACTGTGTTCAGAGCGCAGCCTGATTGATAACTGATTTTACCATCGGCAGCTTTCTGTGAAAGCGGTGCATCACTTGTCCAGAAAAATGCTGCTCCATGGCCACAACAGCTAGCACACACTGTTTACTTCTTTCCTTAATTATTAATCACGTATGAATTTATAAGGGGTGGGCCTTCTTGGCCCTTGCACCGCGACCTGCAGTAATCTATTGTGCCTATTAATCACATACAGTAATTAATGTTGTTCTCACTATTGTAGAAAGTGTTCAGAATGTCTGCCCTCTGCTGCAAGACATACCTGAATTCTTTTGAACAGATTTCAGGAAACTTGTTGCAATTCATGTTGCTGAATGTTGTAAACTGCCTTGCGAGTTTTCTGGTTTAAAGTCTCCAGGTCATGTGGATTGTTGGCATACACAACACTTTTCAGTTTTCCCCAAAGATAAAAATCACAGGGGTTTAGATCTGGGGACCAAGGGGGCCACAAACCCTTGTTAATAATTCTACTTTCCCCATTTACTTCTCCAAAGATACTGCATAATGCTTGGATAGTTTCTTTAGCTGTGTGTGGAGTTGTGCTGTCTTGCATAAAATAATCAAATCTTTCTTCTGCAGGTTCCAATTAACAAAAAATGGACTGAGTGTTTCATTAAGGTATCATTAAGCAACATGAGTTCGTTTATAAAATATCGGTCCAATTATACGGTCTGAGCTACTTGCACAACGTACGCCTATATTTTGGTCGTAAAGGGGAAGCTGAATTAGGGCATGAGGAGTTTCACTACTCTAGTGCCCACTGTTTTGTGAGTTAACATATCCCAAGAGATTAAAATTAGCCTCATCTGTGAAAAATGTCAGCTTAGGATTAAGAAGTCTGTCATGCACATAATTGATAACCCTTTTCATAATCCATAGGTTTAATTTCAGGAACAACAGTAATTTTATATGACCGAATATACAACAGTTTAATTGCTCTCCATGCACAGCCTACAGACACATCACTTTGTTGTGATAATCACCGCAATGATTTTTGAGGAGAATTTTCTAATCAGTGACCCATGTCATGAAGTGTTTCCTCAGTTAGAACATGTTTTCTTTTTAATGCTTTTCTGTTAATTAGAATTCCGTGGGTTCAAACTTTCAAGATGGATATGTTGTGTCAGAAAATTTATGGCAAAATTTTCTCCTGTATGATTTGTATGCTTTTTTCCCCCACATAACAATCATAAATGAAAACCCTTTATTCTAAACTGTATCTCATATTAGCCATAAAGACACAGCACCAAGCACTATATAAAGAAGCTTCTGCAACACTTCATGGTGCAACTCTGACTTACGCACTAATGAGGGCCGCACCATAGCTCAAGCGGTTAGTAACTGGGTTCCCACCGTGGCAACCCAGGTTCGATCAAGTGGGATCTGTGGTGGACAAAGTGGCACTGGGGCAGGTTTTCTTTAAGTACTTCAGTTTCCCCTGCCAATCTTCATTCCACCAACTGCTCCACAATCACCCTCACCTATCATCTCAGGCTGGTACAATAGGCCAGAAGTGGCCACAGTACAAGGGACTTAGACCCACCCCACTTACTTACTCAGGGAGCTGAGCCCTTCTGGAGGAGCCACCAATTCTGCAGCTACTCAAGAATTTCCCAGCATTTTGTGGAACCTGAAGGTTCATTACTGTGTTCACAAGAGCCCTCCACTGGTCCCTATCCTGAGCCAGATCTATCCAATCCATACCATCCCATCTCATCTCTCTAAGATCCATTCTAATATTGTTCACCCACCTATGCCTTGGTCTTCCCTGTGGTGTCCTTCCTTCTGGCTTTCCCACCAATATCCTATACACATTCCTCGTCTGACCTGCCCACCTCATCCCCAATAATTTCATCTATATATGGACTTAACCTTGAAAGAATATTGGACAAAATTTTATATGAAGTTGATAGCAGTGATATCCCCTGATAATTACTACAGTCAGTTTTATCATCCTTCTTGTGAACTGGTACAATATTAGACTCCTTCCACTGATCAGGCAATTTTTCCTTATGCCAAATAGAAGTAATCAGATTGTGGATCTTAGAACATAATATTTCGCCTCCTCCTTGAATAAGTTCTCCTGGAATTTATCACTACCTGGTGATTTATACCGTTTCAATTTTGCAATAGCACTTTCAACCTCAAAAGGGCTAGGATCAGGTATTAACAGCTCAGCTGTATGGATTTCTGTCTGCCTAACAGCACTGACCCTATGTACATTCAATAACTGAGAGAAGTAGTTCCTCCAACTATTCAAAATGTTGTGGGAATCTGCAGGCAGATCATCATTCTCATCCTTCACCAAGTTACTGCAAGGCTGGTAGCCCCTCTTAAAGTCATTTATTCCTCTATACAGGTCTCTAATGTTCTTGTTCTTACTGTTCATTGCAAGCTCATCAATTCTGTCTTTCAAATATTCCCTATTTTTGTTCCTGAAATGCCTGCTGGTTTCGTGTCTTATAGTGTTCAGATTATCCCCATTTAACTGGCTTGGAGCCTGTAACCATTGCAATTTGGCCTGCTTTCTTTGATCTAATAATTCTGAACATCCTTCATCAAACCATGGCTTATGCTTCTTCGGTTCAGATTAACCTAGACTCTCTTTTACACCCCACTAGCAATAAAAAAAATACTCACTAATCAGGTTATCACTGAATCCTGTTGAGTCCTGAGACAACGTACTAGCAAGCCCCGGGACATCCGATAAGCCTGACCAATGAACACTCGGTACCGCTTCCCTTCAAATTTTCTGATCAAGTTTTCATGCCTTTGCCTTCTATCCCATGCTACCCACATGCTCCAACCATCTCATCTTCCTTGATTTCATTGACTTATTAACATATGGTGACAAAATCAGAATGTCAAGGTAAAGTTGTCCCTGCACTTATCTAATTAAGCACCGTGCCATGAAGACATATGGGGGAGTGGAGATAAAGATCCACTGTCCTTTACCTTGACACTAGATGGAGGTGAGTTATCATCTTCATGCCCTAACTATTTTACCCCAGAGAAAGAGGTCCCAGTACCCACTGGACAGGAAGCTGGGTGACCCCAGAGCCAGTGTGGATGCTGTGGATTACATAAAAATTTCTTCCACCTGGCAGGACTCAAACCCCAGCTGTCCAGCCCATAGCCCATCACTATTCCAGCTCCTAAAATAACTAGGTACATTACTAAAATAAATATTCTTAGATACTTACCGCAGTCAAGAAGCCAAAGGTCTCCCAGTCGACAGCCACTCATGCCACCATATATCACCAATCGGGATTTTCCTGTTTCTTTGTCAGTGTATGCCACACCAGTGTGTGATTCTCTTGGTGGAGGTGATGTACCATAAGTTTGTGGTAAGTCCCATGCAGTTGAATTGTTACCTCGTAATTCAAGTGTATACAGGTCATTCAAATACCTTAAACAATTGCTGACTTTAGTAAACATAGCAAATTCTTCTGTAACAATCTTCATATACATAGTTACTACTGTATAAATAAATAACTCATTATGAATTGGTTTTCAGAGGGCCAGCCACAGGACTAAGAACAATACACCCTAAACAACTTGTCCTAACTTTCTTCGAGACAAGGACCTCCTTTTCAGCTGACAGCTCATTTGAACACTGCCTTCACATTCATCCATCAAACATATTCCACTGGAATAACAGCAATGTATCTACAAGAAGAGCTTCTTGTCTTTAAGTTTCTAGCCTCTTGGCTTTCACCATTTCACACTGTCTGAGATTACATGCAATAAGCAGTGAACTACTAGCACAAAAAATATGTCCATTAGAATCATAGTGACACCAGCCAATAAAGGAAATGTCATGTCACATCATCAAGCCATGCCACAGACCCAGATATAAGGGTCCATGATTTGACAGGCCAAGAGTATAAAGTACTTGTATTCAGTACCATTATGAAAACAAACATCACTGTGACTTAAGGATCCTTCTTATTTAGCACTGATGCTGTCCACCATGAAACAGCTTTGGCTGACAATCATGTGCTTGCCAGGTACACTGCTGAACTCTCAGCTTTGTGAGCGAATCTGTGTGTGTAACAGTGAACTGTAAATTTTGTAAATCAGCCACAGCGCTGTATTACCTGTAAGTACGAGCTGATTATATAAGGTTTTATAAATATAATCATCCAATCCAAATCCTGTCTATAGTCACTAATACATGTAACAATATGGTTTATTAGTGTACAGATGTGAGGGGCATGCAGTAGCATAGTTGGTTGAGGCACTATGCTACAAGCCAGATGGTTGTGGGTTCAAGTCCCTATAAGGTCAACTGATATTTTTCAACTGACCTAATCCTTCCAGCCGCAATATGGCCCTGGGGTCGACTCAGCCTCTAACAGAAATGAGTACCAGGAGTTAAATAATTTTCCTGGGGAGTAAAGCACGACTGGCGGGTAAGGCTGACAACCGTACCTCCATCTTTGAGCCGACTGTCCAGAAAATGTGGGACCCTCAACGTCTCACAACCCTATGGGCCTTCACAGCCTGTTACAGGGATACCTTTACTTATGCTTTTTTACTGTACAGATGTGATGCATGCTTTCAGACCCTTAACCTCTCAATTCTTTCATGATATAATTCTACATATGAAAACATACCAAACTACAACTTCTGGATTATGTAAGTAATTTCATGTATCCTATGTATCCTTTGTTAAGCTGGCAAGTGTTGTTATGGCTTCCCAGTGACATTTTCAGTGACTGGTTCACTTTTGCTATTTCAGAAATCATTTACATATTTTGATTCACTGTCACTTACTGAAACTGACTTCCAAACATATTTCCTCATGATATTCTTGTGCTGTGCACACTGATAAGGCACTGCCTATGAGCTGCATTCATGTGAACACCAATTTGTTTCCATCCATTTAGGAACACCGTCCTTCCCATATGTGACCTCTGTATCCCCTTCCCACTATCCTCCTCCTTTGGTGAGTCCCAGCCCTGAGTTCAAGCATCACTACCTACACAGCACACAATGGCATAAGCGATTTTTCCAACATTACTGTCTGGTATCAGTTTCTAAAGGGGGCACACGGTAGCGTAGTTGGTTGAGGCACTATGCTACAAGCTGGAAGGTCGTGGGTTCAAGTCCCAATGAGGTAATTGGATTTTTTCAATTGACCTAATCCTTCCAGCTGCACTATGGCCCTGGGGTAGACTCAGCCTCTAACAGAAATGAGTACCAGGAATTAATTAAATAATTTTCCTGGGGAGTAAAGCACGACCAGCACGTAAGGCTGGCAACCTTATTGCCATCTGTGTGCCGGATGTCTAGAAAATGTGGGAACCTCAACATCTCACAACCCTATGGGCCTCCATAGCCTGCTATAGGGATACCTTTACTTTTATTATCTTTTTCTGTGCTTAACCCTTCACTGCCAGCAGGCATTTAAATTCCTACTCAACTTCTGTGCCGGAGAATATTTAAATAATTAAATCAGAGAGTGCATCATTTAACTTAAAGTGTAATAAATTGGGGAAAACTGGAGTTCTGTTTTTCTAATTTTCATACTACGTTCAGAAATGTACATAGAATTAGTATCTTGATCCACACGGCTTTAAAATTATTTTTTGGCACAGTATGCCTATAAAAATTATGAATGATAATGGGTGTGAGACACACGACAAATAATTTCATGGCGTCTTGGATATAGCGAATTTATTGCACATTCGCTCTTACATTTACACAGTTTACAATTTTACAACTACTGCCATCTGCAGTATCACAATTACTTCTCCATGCACTCGATACAACCCACCTCGGCGACTGCTAGATTGAAACTGACTGTTTACACATTCCAGTCTCCCTCATAAACCCTCAGTCAGACAGCGGAAAACCCACATCGCTTCACTGTCGCGTAAACGCCATGTTTACAGGCATTGCTGTGGAACACTGCAAAGAGTTGTTTATTGCTGCGTAGTAACCGTGGTGTTCCCTGTTATGTCACTGCGGGGAAGGGGGACAGAGTGTTGATTGGCCTGTTACCGTAGCAGCAGCAGTTGCTCCGATGATGTTACGTCACCACTGCATGGGGGGGGGGGGGGTTTACCAAGCGTTGCGCCGTCCACGTCACAGTATCATATTACCTTAGAAGTTCAGCTGGATGTGTTATTTGTGAAAACATTCCATACAGGGTCCCACGTCACACTAGTACATAGATTTGACACACAACATGCCATTTCTGTGGTTTTGATTTCTTAGCAGTTGGTGGAATCTTGCTTATAAAATTTCTTTCTCTTAGATGCGGCACTGTTTTGTTGGACGAATGTCGACCCAACCCTTTGTGTTCTACAGCATTAGTGGAATCTTGCTTATAAAATTTCTTTCTCTTTGATGCGGCACTGTTTTGATGGACGAATGTCGACCCAACCCTTTGTGTTCTACAGCATTATTGGAATCCTGCTTATAACATTTCTTTCTCTTAGATGCTGCACTGTTTTGTTGGACGAATGTCGACCCAACCCTTTGTGTTCTACAGGATTAGCATATTTCATACAGTCCCTCAATTAAGTGAATTCTGATTGACAACCAATCTATTCTTTTCCATGCGTTATTCCTACATATTATCATCGCATTCAGAAATGTTCTTCTTATCCCTTATACTTTTGCATATTCTCCCAATGGACATTCGTGCTTTTCTCGTTTCTGTCATTTACCACAGAATCGAGAAAAGCACCCATCCATTTTCAGTGTCAAATTCTGACTCTGATAAAACTTTGTTCTGATTCAGTTCGAAGTAAAATATCCTCCACTGGTCATGACACAACACAGCTGATCACTTCACTGCTCATGACTGGCCTTGGCAGCTAAAACCAGACGGCACAATGTGTATTTAAAGGACAAAGGGGAATTACAGTAGTACCATTCATATAGCAAACTGTTTATGGTTTGCTACATAGCAGACATAACACACTTCTTAGAGTCAACATCACATCTCAAAGTCACAGACTGTCCACATGTTTTCTCGTGCTTCCAAATTCCAATCTCGAAGCAGCCCTGTTCACAACATGCATAAAAAGAATCGACTTTTCATTCGATCAGCGTTCAGGACAACACACAGTCTCGATCTAACATATTTAGTTCATAAGAATTCCTCAAGGCGAGGATAGATTTGTATGGTAACAAGTACATCAAGTGTTGAAGTAGAAAAATTTTTCAAAGAATTCAAATGTATTACAATTGCTGCAGGAAGTTCAAAGTGGGACAATGAATATACGAAATGATAGCCTGAAATGTCCTCTTTAATTTCATACCAAAAGAATTACTTTACATGGAAAACAACGGTTCAAAACACGAGCTGAAACTTAGCGCAGCAATACGTGTACCCTGCACTGAACCCAGCAGCATGTGACAGAAGCCGCTGGCAAGCCAGGTATGGAGCCCATCACTGAAGGGTTAAGTACTTCAATCTTCTCGTGGGTAGTTGGCCTGTGCTGTATCTGTGCTGGTGAGTCGTAATTTTAATTGGGCTATGAATTTGTCATCATGATAGCTTCATGCATCTCTGTCTGGTTACACACGTCCCTTCACTTGAGTTATCTACCATTTGGTTTATATTTGTTATTCACTGTTATTTCTGATAATACACTAGTATCCTGTCTATAATCATTCCACTCTTCTATCTGCACTGCATTATCTGTTATCTATGGTCTGCCACATAAAAATAAGACCAGGTGCAACATTCTAAAATATCATGATTAAAAAAAAAATACTCATGTTCAATATAAATAACAGGTTCATGAAAACAGATGATACATACAAGTGTTTATTTCTGTAACATACTCCAGCAAAATACTGAACTGGACAGTAAAGAACGAAGATGAAAATTCAGGACCAGTAAAGAATGAAGATGAAAAATCAGGACCTCCCCATTACATTTTGAAGAAGGGCCTAAATCATATACATTACATCCATGTGGCCAAAACTTTGATGCTGAGGTGCATATTAATACAGGTAGGAAAACTATTAGAGAATGTAAAAATTTCATCCAGTTTCTTCGGAATTGAAGAGGCATATGCCATGGTTAGATGAAGGATGTACAAAATTATGAGATCAAGGGAAACAAGCCAAACTGCAGTGGTTACAGGACCCAAGCCAAATAAATGGGGATAATCTGAACAATATAAGACATGAAGCCAATAGGCACTTCAGGAATAAAAAGAGGGAATATCTAAAAGACAAAATTAATGAGCTTACATTGAACAGTAAGAACAAGAACATTAGATATTAGAGACCTGTATAGATGAATAAATGAATTTAAGTGGGGCTATCCCATGTGAGGTGGATCCCTAGTCACAATGGCATGGCACATCCTCAGGCTGCGGACGGAGAAGAGAGCTTCCACATATGGAGGGTAGCTGCAAATATATTGAATAAGCAGTCACAGACAGCCGACAAGGTTCGATCTTCCGGATTGAGGGTTGAGCATGGAGCTAACAACTCCTCACAGTAGAAAATAAGCTTGTTACAAAATGTCACAAAGGGCCTTGGATGGACAAGTGGAGGGCTCATGTAAAAATGGTAATGAACCTTTAGGTTCCATAAAATGCTGAGAAGTTCTTGAGTAACTAACAGGTCCTTTGTAAATGTGGCACACTTCAAATAATTGGGAATGACAGTAACAAGTAAAATTTGATTCAGGAGGAAATTAAGAGGAGACTGAATTCAGGTAATGCTTGATACCATTCAGTCCAGATGCTTGCCTTCTCGTTGGCTGTCTAAGAAGAATTATATTATACACAACAATAATTTTGCCTGTGGTTGTGTACAGGTGTGAAATTTGGTCTATGACATTAAGGAAGGAACACAGATGAAGGGTGTTTGAAAACAAGGAGCTGAGAAGAATATCTGGACTGAAGAGAGATGAAGTGACTGGAGGTTGCAAAATACTGCATAATGAGGAGCTTCATAACTTGTGCTCTTCGCCAAGTTTAATTAGAATGATAAAGTCAAGGAGGATGAGATGGGCAGAGCATATAGCACGAATAGCGGAGATCTTCCAGCACCTTTTTCTTATATCATTTCAGTTAATCCAGGTTTCATCTAACAACTTGTTTGAAAACGCATGATATTTCTATCTGTCCCTCTGATCAGACACTTCTTACTGGGCAACACTGCACTACTAACCTCCCAGAAGCAAACACACCTTAAACATTATGCAGTATGTATTGAAACACTGCACTCCAGCACCACTTGATATTAAATGCTGCAGACTGGTGAAACTTCAGTAAGAAAGACAGCATGTGACACCCTTTACGCAGGTGCAGTCCTTCAAAATCCACCACTGTATATACACCCAACTGTACTCAAAAAGTACCTCTGCCATCCAACTTTGTAAACTACACACTTCCAGTGAGCAAAGCAGTAGGCTAACTCCCTTGAGGCATAATATCAAGTTCATTGCAATGGTCAGATTACTGCCTTCTGGGATGTGAAGACAGGTTTCCTGGTAGATATGAATCAGTATTTTGGAGGAACCTGCCAATGGAACCAGTGTGGAGGCAGCAGGTACCTCTGCAACACTGGTACCTATCTACAAGGCTATATGGTATCACATCCGAGAAGACTGATCTTCATAATCGCCACTGTAAGAACATCAAATCTGATACTCCTGAATGGTTAGCACATTGATTTGAAAGAAGCTTCAGTAAATCCATTGTTAATGTCCTCTATGCACTTCAAAGACTGATCCATTTGAGTACGGACAAAGTATAACGTTGTGAAAAGGAACTATTAACTTAATATTTTGAACACACAGCCTACAAAGATCATAAATTTTACTTTCAACACCCGCTCCCTCATGAATAGGGATCAGATTTTAATGCAAATGCATATTTCTTTCTTACAACCAGAAAGTATGCGCATTTGGATATATGTATGAATTACTTCATTTCTTAAATTTTGGACATCGTTTGATGGTGCACGTACAGGCATATTTTGCCTGTTTTATGAATAAGCATCATATTTTCAAAGATCTCTATTTATATTGCATACTTCCTTTTTAAAATGTTTATCATATATATTTTTTAATTTTATTTTCAAACTTTCAATCATGGTCATGTGTATACAAGTTTTCTTTTCTGTATTAGAATATGTTGCACATTTGACTCAACATTTCATCATGATTCATGTTTCTGATGCAAGCTGGGGGCCATTCACATTAGTAGTGACTAGTCTGTAGTTAAGTTTGTTTAGCTTTCTGTAGTCATGCCAAAAGTGAAAGTCAGAAAACTAAATTACAGCTCTATCAGCGGGAGTTCGAAGGAGAGATGATAAGTACAGATAACTAAATTCTTTATTGTCGAGCATGTGAGAAAACAGCTGGTTGTGAAAAACGCTTTCAAGTGCTTCAGCATATGAACACTAATATACACAAAGAGAATATTAAAATTAAATCCACAAAAAGTGCCCCTGTTCAAAAATTGCTTAGTGAATTTTCTAATAATAGTTTTTCACAGGTTTCCTTTGATTTATGCAAAGCCTTTTTAGCAGCAGATATTCCGCTGTGGAAACTAACCAATCCTACTCTAAGAAACTTCACAGAGAAGTATACACAGTGGAAAGTGCCAGATGAATCTACTGTGCACAAAAATTACGTGAAGAAGTGTTATGATCTTACAATTGAAAGCATTAGAGATAAGATTCAAGACAATTTTGTGTGGGATCAATCAACAAAACACACGATTGTGAGGGATTGCAAATTGTATAGTTGGATCCCTTAATAAGAATGAACAATCTACCCCATATCTTCTTGCGGTAGAGCAATTTGAAAACACAAATAGCTCCGCAGTTTCTGAAATTTTTCTCAATTCCATGAATTTACTATGGTCAAATGGCATTCAGTATGAGCACATATTGCTCTTTCTGACTGATGCCACAAGTTATATGATGAAAGCCGGTACTGCTCTTAAAGTTATATTTCCAAATGTGACACATTTGACTTGCCTTGCCCATGGGTTGCACCGTGTTGCAGAAACAATTCGTGCAAATTTTCCGCTTGTTGACAAGTTGGTGACTTCTGTGAAGAAGGTATTTGTTAAAGCGCCATACAGAAAAGAAGCCTTTAAAGCAGTAGCACCGAGCGTTCCACTTCCGCCAGAACCAATTTTAACGCGCTGGGGCACGTGGCAGTGTGCAGCAAGTTATTATACTGAACATTTAGAAACAGTCAGGAATGTTGTGAATACATTTGATTCCAAAAGTGCAGCATCAATTCAAATTGCCCATGATGTACTAAAAAATGCAGAACTAGAAACTAATCTTTCCTATATAAATCTACTCACTTCTCTCATCTTCCATTCACCATTTCCTCACTGAAGGCAAGCAATAGCAATACTACTTTGTATCAGTTGTTAAGTGTGTTCAAAACTACTGTTTCCAAATTGAATTCGGTTCCTGGAAGAGTTGGTGAAGTAGTAAAGGAAAAACTACACAGCATTCTTTAAAAAAATCCAGGATATGAACAAATTCGTGAAATTGAAGAAATTTTAGCCAGTAAACATACATAACTGCCAAGCAAAAAATCACTAACAGTGGAGCAAATATCAGCTTTCCTACATGCGCCCCTAAGTTCCTGTGAGGTGGAAAGAAGTTTTTCCCGCTATAAGGACATCTTACGAGACAAGAGGAGGTGACTAACTATGGAAAACCTAAAATATTTAGTAATGGTGAAATGCAACGGAAGAGAAGTTGAAAGTTCGAAGAGCTAAATGTGAGTACCATTGGTTTTTTAAATTTGTAATGAAATATGTTGGCTTTGTTGCACGATTTGTATTTAAGTATAGTTTGTTATTGCAAGTGAATCATTCAGTGATTACATAAAATGAACTTAAATATTGATTTGTTGGTCTTAAAATAATGTAAAATCAATTTTAATATTTGGTATAAATTTTTATGTGCATATTTCTGAAGTTCTTCATGCATAAATGCATACATATTTAAGGGATTATTGGGGCATAAAAATTCGGTCCCTACTCATGAACACAACATAGCTCATAATGTACATAATGGTCCAGTTTGTGCAAAGCTTCAGCTCAACGCATCTGATACAGAAAAACTCTCCACTGTGCTGGCAACTTAGGTTCTTACACAGACTCCTACTCATTGCAGCATGAACAATTTCTGTGGCTGGCTGAACAGTACATCAACTGGCATATGGTTTAGTCATATAATCAATTTCTTCAAACAGGTAATACCATTTCGTTTTGGAATTGTAATTGGAGACTTTTTACACACCAGACATGGTGACACTCTTACTGCCCTGCTGTCACAGGACACTTTCTTCTTGCCACTGTTCACTCAGCAGCATCTTTAGATGTCTCACAAGATGCAAGTATTGTACAACAAACTCCCATGTGTTAATAACACATCCTTTATTCCATATTTACCTTTATCCATACCCAGATGGATCACCCTGCAATATATGGGGTCACCATGAAACCATGCGTCATATATGAACATTACAGCAACTGCTCACTATGAAGAATGAAAACTGATTTACCTGGGAATGTTATTTTTTGGATCTTCACTATCATTTGCCAAACCACCAAACAAATAAACTCGGTTTCCTATTAATGTAAAACTATGACCAAGGCGGGGACACGGTGGTGAGCCATGTTTAGGAGGCCGAGGTTTCAGCCGTTTCCACTCCCAGCGGCTTGCCTGTGACAAAACATAACACTGACAGCATTAACTTTTCATATTAGAGTCCTGACTCCATCACAGGAACACTGGCAAGTACTTCAAATTCATAAATGAATATATTATGCAAACAACTGCCCTGATATGTTAAGTTCACGTTAACTAAAACCTGTATATCGTCTTTATGTTAACACACAAACTCATTTGAGACTCTTCTGATATAACAGATATGAATAATAGATGCAATCACTTATCTGTGCAAATTTATGAGAGAATTCCTTTAACTTACTTGTAATTCATACAGCTCATTTGAATATTTGCCATATTCCACCATTCCTCCAAAGACAAGGATCCTGGTACCATCAACCACAAAGCCATAAGCTGCACATCCAGGGGGGATATCTCCCTTTGTTGCCGGAACAAACCATTGATTTGTTGCTGTTTTAATGCAAAGATAAGTAGGAAATTATTTCATGCCAAATATTCAATTAAGAACACTGAGTAATGTTTGTTTGGAAGCAATAAAAGTGGCTACTCCTACTCCTGAAGTAATATAATACAAGGGATTAAAATAAATTATGTTATCAATCAACAGAAATATTGGGTTTTTGGACTTTATCCATCATCCTGGTTTTAAGATAACTGAGAAAAAACACGACGTTTTGGAAACTGGCTCTGTTTCCGTCCTCAGGTGAGGGAAAACACCTACTCTGTTGGGTCCCTTAGAAAGAGCTAGCCTCAATCACTGTTATCTTAAAACCAGGACGGTGGATAAAGTCCGAAAACCCAATATCTCTGTGTGTTACACACCATCGTCTGAATCCTACAGTAACCACTGTTATCAATGCAAACTCCAGTTACATGACTCCTAAATTTTCAAGATAGACTCCAACATTCCAAAGGTATGTACCACACATCTTTCTTTCCTCAGGAAACAAAGCCTATTACCCATTCATTATTACAGGAAAGGGAACTATAAATCAGCATTAAGCAACAGCTAAAAAGAAAGTGTAGGTTCAGTTACTTGTTCAAACTGGATTAAAAGCTATTCACATGATGTAATAAGCTACTATTTTATAATACAGTTGACTAAACGTCTTCCAAAACTACAAATAAATGTATGTTCCCATTAAATACATTAGAGCCTGTAACAATTACAAATTGAATACACTTCAGGAGACACTATTTTTTATACAACCAATGTCAAAGTCCATGATATGTATACAGTGGCCGTCTTGTAGTGCACTCAATTTCACCTGTTACTTCACGACACACATCACAAGACACGGTTTACACAGAAAATAAGAAAAATGACCTCATAGTGAATGAACCACATGCAAGTTTTAATTAAGACACATAAGATGAATAATCTTAACAAGTTTTAGTGAGTGTAAATTTATTATGGTTCACAAATACGCACTTTTTAAATACTTTTTAAATGGTGTTGTGAAGACATATGAGGGCAAGCAATGCAATAGATTAGCGTAATTAGGGCACCTGATGATGGCACTATGTTGCCGAAACATGTCGTGAAGTGACAGGTGAAATTGAGTGCACTACAAGATGGCCAGTGTATACGTATCATGGATGCAAATCAGTTCAACAGGACACTAAAATACAACACGTCAAAGTAATGAGTCACTTCGAAAAATATGAGTAAAATAGAATTTTGTCAGTGTGATGAGTGCAAATAGTAATTTTCATTTTTAAAATTATTTAGGATAAAAGTGATACATGTAACATTTAACATTTTGTTACATTATTGTACCACAAGAAAATATGCCATATGAGATATATTTTAGTATTTACATCTCAATTATAAAGCATTAAAACAGTTACAGTTATCAGCAGCAATGAGCCCTTAAAAGAATATATTCTATACGAGATTCACAGACAAATCCGTGACATAAAAATGTGTGCAAGAAATTATACTTCTTCAAATTGACCATTAAACCAGAAACAAAAAAAAAAATGTGAAATAGTTTACTTGTATAATTTACCATCACCACTATGAAAATGTTTGGAATATGTAACTCATTATACAATGCAAGACAATACTGTTTCATTTGCCTCTCAACCAATCTTGCAGAATGTGCAATTTCTCAATTTTACAGATGTTATCATACATCTGTAAAGCTGTAGTGCTGCAATTTTCTAGTGCCTTCCATGATTATTTGCAATGATGACAAATTAAACCTGTAATACAAAATAACCTTTCAACTGGAATTTACATATGTGGCTGGCAACATTTACCACTCTGTACAGTTCTGATTGTACTGTCTCAGTAAGGCACAACACATTCATGTGGGTTTATTCTCAATATAAAGGGTATCATTTACCTCTTTTGGACATTATCCTTTGCCCTGTTTTTGTTAAAAAAAAACACATTCTGGAGACTGGACTCTGTCTCTGTCATCAGGTAAAAAGCCTATTCAGTTCGGGCCAATCAACAGAGCTAGCCCCTATCTCTGGACACCAGAACCAGTGCAAGACAGGCTATATAAACCAAACACAACCTAAATTATCTTCAGGAGTTAAGCCAAACACTTCAAAACTCCTCCAGATGGTTTGTTGTTTGGTTTATATATCCTACCTTGTATTTGTTCTGGTGTCCAGAGATATGGACCAAGTTCTATCAATTGGGCTCAAATGACTAGGCTTTTTACCTGACACCAGAGGCATAGTCCAGTCTCTGAAGGATGAAGGACAATGTCTTACTGAAAAGTATCAATTTTAATATTAGCTACAAGGTTCGAATGTTCTCTTCTCCTCCTATTTCCTCTTTTTTTACAATGATTCTTCCTTTTTTATTTCTTTTCTTTGTTACTGACATCTTCCAATACCAGGCTGAACCACCTTGTTCTGGGTCATTACTAGGGACCAGATTTAAATGCAAATGCATATTTCTTTCTTGCAACCAGAGAGTATGCTCGTTTGGATATATGTATGAATTACTTCAGTTCTTAAATTTTGGACATGGTTTGATAGTGCACATAAATGCATATTTTCCCTGTTTTATGAATATACATCATATTTACGAAGATCTCTATTTATACTGCACATTACCTTTTTAAAATGTTTATCAAATATATTCCTTAATTTTATGTTCAAATTTTCAATCATGGTTGTGTGTATACAACTTTTCCTTTCCATATTAGAATATGTTGCATATCTGACTCAACATTTCATCATGATTCATGTTTCTGATGCAATACTCAGGATGGGACTTCCCCGATCTACGCATAACTTGCCTCATCCGGGTATCATCAAAGTGGCCACCAAAGAGATTAGTCGGAAGCGTTCACATGTAGCCGCTATCAACATAATACTATTCAACCAATAAGGGACTTCACTTATTTCTTTCCAAAATCTCCATGAGGTTCATTATGCTTCTTCATTTGAAGCTGGGGGCCATTCACATTAGTCATGACTAGTCTGTAAATAAATTTGTTTAGCTTTCTGTAGTCATGCCGAAGGTGAAAGTAAGTCAGAAAACTAAATTACAGCTGTATCAGCAGGAGTTCAAAGGAGAGAGGATAAGTACGGATAATGAAATTCTTTACTGTCAGCGTGTGAGAAAACAGCTGGTTGTGAAAAAAGAAAAGTGCTCCTGTTCAAAAATTGCTTAGTGAATTTTCTAATAATAGTTTTTCACAGATTTCCTCTGATTTATGCGAAGCCTTTTTAGCGGCAGATATTCCACTGTGGAGACTAACCAATCCTACTCTGAGAAACTTCACAGAGAAGTACACACAGTGCAAAGTGCCAGATGAATCTACTGAGCACAAAAATTATGTGAAGCAGTGTTACGATCTTACAATTGAAAGCATTAGAGATAAGATTCAAGACAATTTTGTGGGTATCAATCAACTAAACACAAGATTGTGAGGGATGGTTTATTGCAAATTGTATAGTTGGGTCCCTTAATAAGAATGAACAATCTACACCATATCTTCATGCGGCAGAGCAATTTGAAACCACAAATAGCTCCGCAGTTTCTGAAATTTTTATCAATTCCATGAATTTACTATGGCCGAATGGCATTCAGTATGAGCACATATTGCTCTTTCTGACTGATGCCGCAAGTTATATGATGAAAGCCGGTACTGCTCTTAAAGTTATATTTTCAAATATGACACATTTGACTTGCCTTGCCCATGGGTTGCACCGTGTTGCAGAAACAATTCGTGCAAATTTTCCGCTTGTTGACAAGTTGGTGTCTTCTGTGAAGAAGGTATTTGTTAAAGCGCCATACAGAAAAGCAGTGGCACCAAGCGTTCCACTTTTGCCAGAACCAATTTTAACGCGCTGGAGCACGTGGCTGTGTGCAGCGAGTTACTATACTGAATATTTAGAAACAGTTAGGAATGTCGTGAATACATTTGATCCCAAAAGTGCAGCGTCAATTCAAATTGCTCACGATGTACTAAAAAATGCAGAACTAGAAACTAATCTTTCCTATATATATCTGCTCACTTCTCTCATCTTCCATTCACCATTTCCTCACTGGAGGCAAGCAATAGCAATACTACTTTGTATCAGTCGTTAAGTGTGTTCAAAACCACCGTTTCCAAATTGAATTTGGTTCCTTGAAGAGTTGAAGTAGTAAAGGAAAAACTACACAGCATTCTTTAAAAAAATCCAGGATATGAACAAATTCGTGAAATTGCAGACATTTTGGCCAGTAAACATACTGAACTTCCAAGTAAAAAATCACTAACAGTGGAGCAAATATCGGCTTTTCTACATACGCCCCTAAGTTCCTGTGAGGTGGAAAGAAGTTTTTCCCGCTATAAGGACATCTTACGAGACAACAGGAGGTGACTAACTATGGAAAACCTAAAACATTTAGTAATGGTGAAATGCAACGGAAGGGAAGTTGAAAGTTCGGAGAGCTAAATGTGAGTACCATTGGTTTTTTAAATTTGTAATGAAATATGTTGGCTTTGTTGCACGATTTGTATTTAAGTATAGTTTGTTATTGCAAGTGAATCATTCAGTGATTACATAAAATGAACTTAAATATTGATTTGTTCGTCTTAAAATAATGTAAAATCAATTTTAATATTTGTGCATATTTTAGAAGTTTTTCATGCATAAATGCACACATATTTAAGGGATTATTAGGGTATAAAAATCCGGTCCCTATTCATTATACAGCCATTGTTCCCTTAAATTTGAATTCTGATGCACTTCTTTTCTTATTCCATCACCTTCTTTTTGCATGGACAAACTGCTGTAACAGCTTTTCATCTAACAAGTTTCAAACTCCTCTTCCTCTAAAAATTTCTCCATTTGCTATTTCTCCACTTTTCAAGACATGGTGTCCCTTTTTTTTTTTTTTGGCGAGTTATTTAACCCTTTCAGCATCAAGACTATAAAGCATCAGATGAATGATGAATTGGAAAGGACTGGGAAGCAAGCAGTTGTGACCTAAT